TTCATTTCCTCAGAGCAGCGCCTGAGCAATTCCAGCTTGCTCTATTCTCTCAGGGCCACAAGGACTGGCGGTCCTTTGGCAGAGCAGCCCTGGACCTGTCTCTTATACACATCTAGATGTGTATAAGAGACAGGTAGTAGTAGTAGTAGTAGTAAATTTTCGTCGCTTTTTTTTTTTTTCTTTTTTTTTCTTTTTTCCTGTTGTGTACTACCGGTTGTCCGAGGCTCGGCAATAAAGTCGAGGCTCGGGAATGACCGGCCTACCAGTAGCCTGAGCCACGGGCCTTGACAACCGGTAGGTACTGGTGGTTTAAGATGGAAAGATTGGCACAATTCTGTCAAGTCTGTAATTCAGCAGAATACCCAGGTACATGAGGTGCCAACTCCAATCTGGGCCTAAAAGTGCTTCCACGATACACTGGCGACAGGCGGCAGCCTTTGTTTCACATGGAACAGATGGCAAAAGAATTCAGGGGTCAACAACATGCGAAAGGAATGGATGACTCCAGCAGTACGTCCTTGAGGAATCTTGTTTTCACAGATGTAATACGACAGCAAGGGTTAGCAATAGCTGAGAGGATTCCTAGAGGGATAGCAAGCTGACAGTCAATCCTCCATGTGGTTGGAGCAATCAATGCTGTTCAGGGGTCCTTCGGCCAGACGGAAGGAAGCGTGGGCGTGTAAAGTATTGTATTTTCTGACTTGCCAGGGGAAAGGAACTGGACTGACGATCCCCAGAATGGATATGGAGCCAGGACCATAAGGCCCTGTTTTGTTAAAAAAAAAAAGGAAAAAAAAGGATTTGTGAGTCTGGGTGGATTACATTTTGTCTGAACCTTGCTTCTTCACGCTTTGCCGTGGACTTGCGTGGAATCATTGGAAGGATGTGTGTTTTTTAATGGTAAGAAACATACATGTGGCACATCACGTGGGCGCAAGTTGTGCACATGCGCCGCATAGCACATGTGCACACGTGATGCAGCGCAACTACGAATTTAAAAAAATAAAAAATTCAAAAGGGCAGGCTGTGGTAACCAAATGTGTGCCTCCCTTTCGAAAATTATAGCTGCGCAGAAAAAAAAAAAAAAATTGGGGCCACATCGTACTCATTGGATTTAGTCTCTTTTCCAAAGGGTCCCCTGCAAAGAATTAGTGGGGATCCCATTCATTTGGAAGAACGTTTATTGAACTGCTGGACAAACACGAGCAGGCCAGCAATATATTCTGGATTCGGATTCGGGTCTGGGTTCCAAGACTTATGGGTTACGAACTGACTCCAAACACGACAGTAGCTGTCTCGTTTTCTTTGTTTTTCCTCTTCTTACGTGCAGTGACCCTAAGGGCCTCGCTCCACTCATCAGCACTTGCACAAAAGAAAAACATATGGCTTGTATGGTTCCAGTTTCTAGGAGAAGATTCATTCTAGTTTTGCACATTTGGTGAGTAGTGGAGTGAAGCCCTGAAAATCACATGTCGAGTTAGCAAATCAATTACCCGTAACTGCTGAAACACGGACCTCAATTCGAAGCTACACCATATATACCTGGCCTGCTCCCTCCTTACCACAAGCCCAGCGAGTGTTCTTCTCCTGCTGACAAGGTCCTTGCTAACTTTTGGCGGGGACCTTTTGAAGTACGAGCAGGGGTTTTCTGAATAATGCGAAAGGGCTCTCTCTCTCTCTCTCTCTCTCTCTCTCTCTCTCTCTCTCTCTCTCTCT